CAGTATTCAAGGTTTTTTGAAACATCTATAAACACTAACAGAATTGTTAAAAGGGATTTCGTCGACCGGCATTCATTGCGATCGTGTTTACACGATAACAAAAATTCGCAAGGGACGCCGGTAGTTCCTGGCAATTTAATGTCTTTTTTCACTTTCTACGTTTTGCGCCATCTTAAAAGGTAGCCGTGCATTTGCATCAAAGCGAGACAGCAGTTGAGCTTTCAATGATAGATACCTGTGAATAATTTTCTTAGATCCCTTTAATGCAATGGCTCTGCTTTCAAGATGGCGCCGAGCGTGCAAGGATAGAAACCTACTAACAATTACGGGTTTTCAGGCTGCGTTTGCAGACTTTTTCAAATCCATCGTCAAGACAACGGTAATGACAGTTGGTGAGCTTGATTACGCAACGTTATTGGTTGACGGTTTAAACCAAAAGAATGACGAGACTGGGGAGCAGTACGTTCCCTTTCCAGATCTATCCTTCATCTTTTTCTACATATTTCTTCTGGCGATGCCGATAGTGTTAATGAACTTACTGGTAAGATCAAGCTATCAGATATCAGTCGCTAAGCCATGTGGGATAGACTTGGAAATCAATTTTGAGCATGCGTAGAACCTGTTCTCCTTTGCATAATGAGATACCCTTGTYCTCTTACCACAAAAGAAGTAATGTTTGTTATAATTTTTGGTCATCTATCTCAATATTTATCACAAAACAGAGCACAGCTGCCACTCGCGGGACCTCGATCCTGATTAATTAGACCCTCGCAAAGTTTGAAACCCTCTCGATCTCATTCAACAAATCATGAATACATTGGTATCTCAAGTTTACAATAATAAACTTTTATTTGATTAATTTATCTTAGATTGGTTTGGCTGTCGGTGATATTGATGCCATTCAACAAACTGCATTCTTGTCAAACAAAAAGATGAGAATTGATTTTGTATCCGAAGTCGAAAGAAAATTTCCTCTGTTCATAACGCACAGACTTTACAAASCAGAACTCACCGTGCACAACACGAGAAGAAAGATGAAATCATTCAGGTAWAATAGAATCAGTTGAATTATAACGAAAAAAATATTGAAATATTAGTCATTGGGAACACTTGCTCGAATGGTACCCCAGCCCCTTTCATCCTTGTCAAAAAGTCATGTTGAAAAGCCCAAAAATTGAATAAATCTTTTCACAATACGGTTACATAAATTAGTGGGCGTTTTTTTTTTTCAAACAGGCGAACCGTTTTTGCTTGATTGGGGTTCTTAAATTATTGAGTAGAGCATTGATGTTTCGTTAAACAAAGACTTCTTACGTCTTGATTCTGATGAAAAATGTCATGGTGTATTTGAACTAAACATAACTGTTTTATCGAGACGTGGCACAATGAKCATCCCTGATTGGGCTATGGCTCAGACATCACTATTATTGAGATTGACAGAATTACTCGTATTTCTTGCAGCCGAACATCCAACGCGCAGCTACTTGTCGATGACGAAGATGTAGGCGAGGAAACCGATATAAGAGAAGATCCTTCGACAATACAATTCCGAGAAGTAAAGCAAGAATTGTCCAAAACCAGACAGCAAATGAAAGCATTATCTGGTCGAATGGAAAARCAACAAGAACTCTTAATTGCTTTAGCTAAAAAGAACGGWATTACCGTGGGAGGACCCCCGAAAGACAATCGACGCATCGTAAAGCTTTTCTAACGATTTTTATTTTTGACAAAATAAAATATGATTTTTTTGCTGGCCATTGACTTTATTGACTCGCGTGCCTAATTCCGATACATACATCTCTATATCTTTATGAAATATTAAAGAAAACTAAACCCCTCTCCCCGGGCTGTGAATGGATGTTAGTAGGTCGCAACATTGGATTGTTTTTTTGGGGGAGGGGTGGGGGCGAGCGTAGGATAATTGTGTCTGTTCATTAGAAAATTCTCAACTATTTTTTGTCCAGGATTTTAGCCTTCCAATGGATTAGATGTTATGCCGAAAGGCACAATATCACCCTGGTGCCTTGCGCGCCATCATACTTTCATTCACTACATGAAGATAAGAAACTAATTAGATTATTAAATGAGTTAATAAAATACTATTGTTATTAGATATCAGTAACCTAGAAAAAATATTTGTATAAAAGATATCAAAAACAACTTTCGCGCGACAGCCTTTGTTGTCAAATTTCTTTAAGAAAGTCGCTATAAAAACAAGATTACTTTGCTAATTTAGCTGGCAGACATAACTATGAAGCTACTCAGTTATTTTTTTAGCGTGGGTTATTTTCATGTCGGTACAACATCAAATAAAGGTCGAAAATTATATTAACACAGGCAGCCCATCAAAATTTCAAAAATAGTTGACAGAACGCGGGAAAAAACGGAAACCCGCGGGAAAGCAGCGCATGCGTGTGACWCACAATCAACAACCCATGCATGCACGTGTGTATGTCTTCCTAAATGTGATTTCAACGTATAAAAGCTGGAAAAAAAGCTCAAARTTCATAGATTCCTACACGAAAACACAATTTAAGGCTTCCTTTATACTTCTTTGATATTTCKAACGCGTCAAAATGAAGTATATTTTAGTTACGGGAGGAGTTATTAGTGGAATCGGCAAAGGAGTGATTTCGAGCAGTATCGGCACTATTCTGAAAGGTTGTGGGATGAAAGTGACTTCAATTAAGATCGATCCTTATTTAAACATCGATGCTGGTACCTTTTCGCCTTATGAACACGGTAAGTGATGATTACAGGCTGTATGGTAGCTGAATTTGCTTTAATATAGCGATTAAACTTTTGACAGCGGTTATTTTTGGCGCGTTTGTGAAATGAATGTCYAAATTTATGGCCAATAACTTAAACTTTCAATGTATTTTCTATTAAATCTGCTTTTTGGACTCGACTATAACCGTTTTACAGTTACTAGGTTTTCTTTAATGTGATATAAAGCATTTTGCTAAACCATTAAAAGTTGATTAACATTTGTAAGAAGTCGTACTTAGGCTAATTGTGCAAATTTTGCACTATAAATTATTGCACACAATCCTAGAAAGTAGAAGATTTTGTATTAATTTCACCAATTTGAAAACTTCTACACTGATAAATTGAATTGCAGCATTTTGAATGACCTTTTTAATTGTTATTTATAATTAAAAGCTGGCCTCATGTTGAGATAACATGTATGGAATCAAGGATTGGTATATATCAATTAAAATTTTATTTTATTTCTTTATTGTTATTTATCATATAAGTTTAATTTTCCATGAAAAAAACCTATTTCTGTCTTTTGAGAACTTTTAAGGTTTCTCTATATATTGGAAGTAAATTAGGTATTAGCCAATCAGAGGTTTTGTACTATCTAAGTTCAGTGTCCTTTCTTTGCAGGTGAAGTATTTGTTCTTGATGATGGTGGYGAAGTTGACCTTGACCTTGGTAACTATGAAAGATTTCTTGATGTCACTCTTCGCCGTGACAACAACATAACAACAGGGAAGATTTACCAGACAGTCATCAATAAAGAACGTAATGGCGACTACCTGGGAAAGACAGTACAAGGTAGATTGGYTGAYCTACTAGACATRTACCAATTACTCAGAAGAKGATCTCTTGTTCTTCTTGCAGGGAGGGATTCTGAAATAGCCGACTTGCAAATTTTGCCTSGGTRGTCAAACACAAAGGAATCAAGACGAGGCGCCGTGCATAAAGCTCAGTCATTCCTGAAAAGACAATASTTTTTCACAAYTGACTGAGCTTTAYGCACAACGCCTCGACTTGATTCTTGATTCTGAGCGAGAAATTCGCAAGTCGGCTATTATGTGCTGGTGCGGACCCGCATAAGTCTTTGGAATTTGAAAATTCTTCTCCACATAATGTACATGAGAAGGCCTCTGTATGTACATCTGTGACCCTGTATATGTTCCATATATGAAATTTGTACGATAGATCCATGTCCACTCTCAACTATGAGGCATTTGATTGTTATTATTCCCTACACATTTGATTTAGTATAACATTTTCTTTTCAGTTGTACCTCACATAACAGATGCAATCCAGGAGTGGGTTACTAGGGTAGCAGAGCATAGATTAGATGGTGAAGACAAAGCTGATATCTGCATTATTGAGGTATAGCTTTGCAACAGACTGTATTACCAAAAATATAGAGCAAACAGGAAAACCATGAAATAAAATCAAACTAAATACTAACAAATAGCGGCTATTTAGAGACAATTTGTCAGTATCAATGAACTGAAACATAATGAAAATGAATCCATATTTCTCATTCATCTTTATTGTGTTCTGGTTCATTGATACTGACAATTTGTCTCTAAATAGCCGCTATTTGTTTTAGTATTTATTTTGATTTTATTTCATGGTTTTCCTGCGTTTGCTCTATAGCCTTCTTTTGGTGTCAATTCAGTAATAAACTATGRATTGTCAAGGGGGTTTTAAACTTAATTTTATTAAAAGTAATTTCATTCCTTTTTGTATTTTTTTAGTTAGGGGGTACCATTGGGGATATTGAAGGTATGCCCTTTGTRGAAGCCTTCCGTCAGTTCCAGTTCAGGGTCGGCAGAGAGAATATGTGTGTGGTCCATGTGACTTTGATTCCAGAGGTAACTGCTTTACATTGTCATGATGGAGGACTTGTTACTATACTAGAAAATCTTGATTTGTTAACTGAGATATTGATTTTTTGACATACTGGTTTGATTGTTAATTGATTGATTGACTGACTGATTGATTGACTGATTTTGGCTGATTGATTGATTGACTGATTTTGGTTGATTGATTGATTGACTGATTTTGGTTGATTGATTGATTGATTGACTGATTTTGGCTGATTGATTGATTGACTGATTTTGGTTGATTGATTGATTGACTGATTTTGGTTGATTGATTGATTGATTGACTGATTTTGGCTGATTGATTGATTGACTGATTTTGGTTGATTGATTGATTGANCCATGCATTTTGATCAAAAAAGGGTCATTTTGAGCGATTTTGGTGGGCTATAGCCCATGCATTTTGATCAAAAAAGGGTCATTTTGAGCGATTTTGGTGTCCATGCATTTTGACTTTTTTTCAAATTTTGATAGTGTTAAAAATAAATTGCTCAACATTTGATGAATAAAAATTTTTATTTCAAAAATAGTTTTCGTTTTATATAAGAATTATATTAGAGTGATTGCACTTAATCCGTGCAACTGTACAAACTGAATTGTTCTATTTAGTTGTATTTAGTAAATCGTGCATGCGGTACGGAAATTATGGACAGTTGGAAGTGTGATCACTCTAATTCAGTCTTTATAGCAGGGTACAAACACTAAAACTGTGCAACATRAATACCACTAARTACTGCTAAATTATGCTAATTCTTTTGTTTTCTATTGTTTAATTAACACTATTTTGTAGTAAATAGTGTAAAGTGTTGCACATATTTTATRTTTGTACTCTAGCAAACGATGCTTTCAGTTATTCCAACATCAGATAACTTTGATCTCGAAGTACAATTTTTCGACTTCCCTTCCTTTAAATCAGTGAAAACGGTTTTGATCCCGAYTTGCTTAATAATCATTTCATTCTTACTCCTGAACTCTAAAAATAAAGTTTCATATCAAAACATCCTTTGTCCTATAGACCACACTACCGTGTTATATCAGATATCTTTTGAGACTGGGCACMAATTTCTTTAACCGTTGGRGACTGGGCACAAATTATTTYAAACCTTTAGGGAATGGTCACAAATCCTTTTGAKATAACTAGTACCCAGTCTCCCACTATCTCAAGATTGTAACTAGTTATGTCGTCTTCTGATTATCTTATCGACAAGACCGAAATGATTTATTTGTAAATAAGCATAAGAGYCTTAGTATCAATGAAGACTTAATTTACGCTCCAATAATGTCTTTTTGCCCAACAAAATAGTCACTTTTTTCTCAAGGATTGTTCTAATCTTGAAACCCTGGGTACCAAAWGGCTGGATTTACTCTTTCTTATAGTATAKTTACGTTCCGTCGCCTCAGATACGGTGCGTCGCTTCGTAAATAAAGGATAAGAGAGAGTAAATCAATCCTTTGGTACCCAGGGTATTAAATCTTGCAGGATGTTTCATTTCTGACAGATTTCAATTTCAAACCGTTTGTCTGATGGCGTAGAGATGAGACGTCCAATCAAATGCTAGCCGTCGGTACCCAGTGTTGACAAGGCTTGTTTACATTTAGAGCTTTGATGTCATGACAAGGCCTGCTGCTGTAGCTTGGATTTTATAGAACTCTTCCCCAAGATCTGAATACAAATGAAAACATACAATATTTAGTTTTCAATCAAGTAAAGAAATAAACCGGTTTGTTGAAAAAAACTCGATGTCACTCGCTCTAAAGGGTTCATGGGTAAGGCTTTAAGTTCAGCCTTCCCTTCACGCACCGCTTTCATAGAAATTACATCAACCTTCGCGGAGGGGAAGAGAGTGAGTATTTTTATGACAAAAAACCACTGCGACCTCATTAATTCTCTCGGTTTTGCGATCAAATCATCGTCAGTTGCGCATGCGCGCGCATGCTCTCTAAGGCATAGCACATTCATGCATTGGTGTTTAYGATTGAATACGATTCAAAAACACTTCAAGCATCGTTTTTACAACAGGAGAAAAATATCCAGATACTTTTTTTTTATCGTGTTAGTTATTATGTGATTATTAATGTTTTATTGATTTTAATATTTTACGTTTTATATAAATATTTTTAAATTTTAATCA